ATTCAAGGAACAAAAAAAAATGAAAAATTGAAAAAAAGAAAAATTATAAAATCAGAACATTGAAAAATCGATACACTGAAAAAATAAAGAAAATAAAAAACCGAAACGAAAAATTGCAAATCGAAAAGTTGAAGAAATGGAAAATTTAAGACTGGAAAAAATTGAATAATTAAAAATTGAAAACTCCTGAAATTGCATATCGAACAAATGCAAGAGGTAGCCCGTCCACCCACCCCCTCTTTATTTCAATTACTACTCTTAATATTGTTGAATGAATCATAGTAAGTTTTGGTCCCGCCCATCCACCCTTTTTTTGAAAGACTGTCATTTACCAAAATCAGTCTTATCTTAACAAATATTAGCCCCGCCCACCCACCCTCTCTTTTCTTAGAGAATATCTCATCTGCCAAAATCAGTCTTATCTTAGTAAGTATTGACCTGACCTGACCTGAAAAAAATGGGAAACTTGGGAAATTTTAAATCGAAAAATTTAGGGAAAGAAAAATTGAAAAAATTAAAATTGAAGAAACAAAAAATGATAAAATCGAAACATCTATACCCATTATCAAGATACATTAATAGACTAATAATTTTTAATCAAAAAACTGCATCCATATCAACAATCAATAAATATATTAACATCCCCATAATTCAACTGATTGAAAAATATTATATAATTGAAAAAAAATAAAGAAAATAAAAACCCTAAAAATTTTTGATAGAAGTAAGATTTGTTGACCCCCACTTCAGGGGAGAGGGAAATTCTATTGAAATAAACCCCGACCAATTTTGTGTTTAGTCTTTGACCAAAAAAAAATGAAAAATTTAAAAAACGAGAAATGAAAAAAGTTGAAAAATTTCACATTGAAAAACAGAAAAATTGAAAAAATAAAGTAAATAAAAAACTGACGAAAAAATGCAAATTGAAAAGTTAAAGAAATGGAAAATTAAACAATTGAAAAATTAAAAATTGAAAACTCCTGAAATTGCATGTCGAACAAATACAAGAAGTAACCCCGCCCACCCACCCCCTCTTTACTCCAGTGACAAATCTTAATATTGTTGAGTCATTCATATCTTAGCAAGTTTTGGCCCCGCCCACCCACCCTTTATTTTCTTAAAGGGTACATCAGTTCTTTCTTAAGAGGCACTAGCCCCATTATAATTATATGTTCTTTTGTAGATTAGGAAACGGAAATAAGAGAACTTGGGCTATTAAAAAAAGAAAAGAAAAGACGTTAATCGTAACTTTTTCTTATATAATTTCCTATAAGATTTATTTCTTATTTCAGAATAAAAAAAATGAGAGAACGGGTGGGTGGGCGGGGCTAAGTTTCGCTTTTTCCAATAGAGTGTTCCAGTGACTGACTACTCTTAATATTGTTGAGCCTTATCCTCTTATTTATCAAGTTTTAGCCCCGCCCATTCACCCTTTGTCTTCTCAGAGGACATGTTGTCATTTACTGAAATGAAAAATTGAAAAATTGCAAACCGAAAAATTCAAGGAACGAAAAATTGAAAAAATAAAGAAGACCGAAACGAAAAATTGCAAATCGAAAATTTGAACAAATGGAAAAGTAAAGAATCGAAAAATTTAAAAATCAAAAATTGAAAACTCCTGAAGTTGCAAATCGAAACATAGAAAGTAGTAGCCCCGCCCACCCACCCCTTCCTAATTCCAGGGACAACTCTTAATATTGTTGAGTCTTTATTTCTGTTGAATCTACGATCCACCTTTCATTCTGACCGGATAAAATGAATCACTGAAATGAAGGCGGGGTGGTAATAGAACGTCGACTGATAAAAAAAAAGAAAAAAAAGTATTCATCGTATTTTTTGTTATACTATTTACTAAGATTTATTTTTTATATAAGAAGAAAAAAGTGAGAGAACGGGTGGGTGGGCGGGGCTAAGTTTAACTTTCTACTTCAGAGTCTTTTATAAGCAAGCAATAGGCCCGCCCACCACCCCCTCTTCATTTCAGTGATTACTTTTAAAATTGTCGTTTACAAAAATCAGTCTTACGTTAACAAATACTAGCCCCGCCCACCCACCCTCTATTTTCTTAGAGGGTATGTAATTTTCCACAATCAGTCTTATCCTAGCAAGCACTGACCTGACCTGACCTGAAAAAAATCGAAAACTCGTGAAATTTTAAAACGAAAAAATTAGGAAAAGGGAAATTGAAAAACAACATAAATAAACAGACAAATTAATAAACTAATAATCTCCAACAATGAACTAATAATTTTTAATCAAAAAACTGAATTCATATCAAAAATCAATAAGTTTACTAACTTCGCCATATGACTGAAAAATCCAATAATTGAAAAAATAAAACCGAAAAATTTTTCGAAGGAGCAAGATTTGTTAGGCTGCTCTTCAGGGGCGAGGAAAGTTCTATGGAAACTTGCCCCGACTAATTTTTAATTTAGTTTCTTTCATCAAAAAAATAAATAAATAAAATAAAGATGAAAATTCTAAGGGTTACATATCGTAAAAATGGAAAAAACAAAAAAAAATGAAAAATTAAAAATTGCAATTTAAAAAATTCAAGAAACGAAAAATCGAAATTGAAAAATTGAAAGGATGAAAAATAAAAAATTTAAAACTCGTGGAACTGCAAATGGAAAATTTACAAAATCTGAAAGCTTAAACATCCAAAAGTTGGAAAATCAAAAACCTAAGATGTTCTAAAATGAAAACTCGAAGAGTTGCATATCGTGAAAGTAAAGAAACAAAATAAAATGAAAAACTGCAAAATTGCAAACCGAAACATTGAAGGAACGAAAAATTTGGAAAACACGAAACTGAAAAATTTTAAATAGAGAAAACGAAAAATTAAAAAATCTAAAAGTTGAAAAATTTCACATTGAAAAAGGAAAAACTATAAAACGAGAACATATAAAAACCGAAAAACTGAAAAAATGAAGAAATGGAGAATTAAAGAATCGAAAAATTGAAAAATCAAAAATTGAAAACTCCTGAAATTGCAAATCGAAACATAGAAAGCAGTAGCCCCGCCCATCCACCCCCTCCTAATTCCAGGGACAACTCTTAATATTGTTGAGTCTTGGCAAGTTTTATTCCCGCCCACACTGATTTTATTTCTGTTGAATCTACGATCCACCTTTCATTCTGACCGGATAAAATCAATCACTGAAATGAAGGCGGGGTGGTAATAGAACGTCGACTGATAAAAAAAAAGAAAAAAAAGTATTAATCGTAATTTTTTGTTATACTATTTACTAAGATTTATTTTTTATATAAGAAGAAAAAAGTGAGAGAACGGGTGGGTGGGCGGGGCTAAGTTTAATTTTTTACTTCAGAGTCTTTTATAAGCAAGCAATAGGTCCGCCCACCCACCCCCTCTTCATTACAGTGATTACTTTTAAAATTGTCATTTACAAAAATTAGTCTTAGTTAACAAATACTAGCCCCGCCTATGTAATTTGCCACATCAGTCTTATCCTACCAAGCACTGACCTGACTTGAAAAAAATTGAATACTCGTGAAATTTTAAAACGAAAAAATTAGGGAAAGGAAAATTGAAAAAATAAAGAAAATAAAATACCCAAAAATTTTTCAAAGAAGCAGGATTTGTAGGGCTGCTCTTCAGGGGCGAGGAAAATTCTATGGAAATAAGCCTCGACTAATTTTGTATTTAGTTTCTTTCATAAAAAATAAAATAAAGATGAAAATTCTAAGGGTTACAATATCGTAAAATGGAAGAACCAAAAAAAACGAAAAATTTAAAATAGCAATTTGAAAAATTGAAGAAACGAAAAATCGAAATTGAAAAATTGAAAGGATGAAAAATTAAAAATTTAAAACTCGTGAAACTGCAAATCGAAAATTTACAAAATCTGAAACCTTAAACATCCAAAAGTTGGAAAATCAAAAAACTAAAATGTTTTAAAAAGAAAACTCGAAGAGTTGCATATCGTGAAAGAGAAGAAACAAAATAAAATGAAAAACTGCAAAATTGCAAACCGAAACATTGAAGGAACGAAAAATTTGGAAAACACGAAACTGAAAAATTTTAAATTGAAAAAACGAAAAATTAAAAAAAATGAAAAAAATAAAAAACCGACACGAAAAATTTCAAATCGAAAATTTGAATAAATGGAAAATTAAAGAATCGAAAAATTGAAAAACCCTGAAATTGAAATCGAAACAAAGAAAGCAGTAGCCCCGCCCACCCACCTCCTCTTTATTCCAGTCACAACTCTTAATATTGTTCAGCCTTATCTCAGCAAGTTTTAGCCCCGCCCACCCACCTTTTGTTTTCTTAGAGGGTATGTCATTTACCAAAATCGGTCCTATCTTGGCATCTTGTTGAATATAAAATCGACCTTTCATTCTGAGCAGGTACAATGAATCTGTGAAATGGAGGCAGGGTGGTGGGCGGGGTTAATTATATGTTCTTGTGTAGAGTGGGAATGGGAACTAATAGGACTGTTAAAAAAAGAAAAAAAGTTTATTTGCTATAAGATTTATTTCTTATTTCAGAAAAAAAAAATAGTGAACCGGTGGGTGGGCGGGGCTAATTTGCACTTTTTCCCACAGAGTCTTTATAAGCAAGCAATAGCCCTGGCCACCCACCCCCTCTTCATTACATTACACTTAATATTGTTGAGTCATTTACCAAAATCAGTCTTATCTTGACAAATGCTGACCTGACCTGGCCTGAAAAAAATTGAAAATTCGGGAAACTTTAAATGGAAAAATGATAAAATCGAAAAAGTAAAGAAAACAAAAAACCGAAACGAAAAATTGAGAAATCGAGAAACTCGATACGAAAAACGCAAAATTTAAAAACGAAAAATTCAAAATTTGGAAAATTGAAAAAGGGAAAAATTCAAACTGGGAAACTCGAAATTTGAAATTTTTTTTTAATAAAAGCGGGATTTGTTGGGGTGTACTTCAGGGACGAGGGAAGTTCTGTCTAGATAACCTTCGACCAATTATTTTTGTACAAACTTTGATTAAAAACGCAGGTGTTCCGGGAACTACTACGGCGCTCAGTGCGAACTCGACGGCGAGGTCCTCGGGGTGGCCATCGGGGCCAGCGTGGCCGCCGTCATCATCATCGGGCTAACCCTAGTCTGCCTGGTCATGTGGAGGTAACCCCAAAAAACGCCGCCTCCAACCGAATAACCCTTTTCTTGTAGCCGCCGGTGGAGCCGCGAGCAGAAAGCCGCCGTCGGCAGCCCCGTCTTCGGCTACATGGCCACCGCCAGCAACACGGTCAAAGCCCCCGTGGTGGGGGCGCCCCCGTACCAGCTCACTCTGGAGGACCGGCTGCGATGGGCCCAGATCGCGGACGTGATGGCCCAAGCTAATCATTACGCGGTAAGTTTTCGAAATCCTCTAATGACAAGTCAAATATTAGTCTTTGCAGCCTGAACCCGTCACCGCGCCAACACGCCCATCGAGTGCCATGTTTGGTTACCCTAATTTGGGTGGGACCATGCAGCATGGGTCGATGCATGGGACGCTGCCGCCCGTGCCTCTGCCGAGACTCAATTTGCAGGCGCAGATGGCCGGGAGGGCCGCGAGTGTCCACGGGATGAGGCCTCTGGATAATTCGAGTTCGAGCGACGAGGAGGATAAGGCGGATTTGCTCGGGAGGAACTTCCAGGTGCCCAGGCCCAAGAGTAGGAGCAACGCTTCGATAGCCGTAAGATTGCGACTTTGAGGGCGATTTTTTAAAGTGACTTGTGGATTGTGTTGTAGAACCAAAGCGGGATTTACTACGACGTGGACTACGACCAAAACGATATGTACAAACAGTCGGGAGGGATCCCTCTGAGTACCTACAGCGTGGGGAGACCTTCGTACTACAGAAACTGACGACTCCAAGCTTGTGTTCTTGTAAATACTGCGAGTGTGAGAGTTCTAGACGAGTTCAAGCCCTGTATTTATACTAGGTTAAGTGAAATCAGACTATCATGGTATTATTTTATCCTTGTCAGTTAAGCGAAACAAAAGGCAATTTCTTAGACTAGAGTGTATTTAGCCAGTGTTTTTGTACATACCAAAAATGCTCCTATCGTTACAAATACTTGACTTTTTATATTTTGTGTAATTAACAAATAAAGTACCCGAGTAAGCAGACTTCTTTGAGTTTACCTTTAGCATTCCTTTCGCCTCTCGCGCAGATGATGAATAACCAAGAGGAACTAATTGAGCTGCTTAGAAACGAATTCATTTACATGGTAAATCCAAACATTGGAAACGTGTAGTCCCCTAAACGTCCTCTCAAAACTTTCGGGTTTATGTTTATATTTAGTAAATACGGTTAAAAGTTAAATTGGCCATCCGCGTGAATAAATAAAAATTTAATTCGCAGCGATTGTGCGGAAGACGTGGGTGCACGTATCGGACCAAACTTCATTATTTGTTCAGGTTTTACATGAATTTTAATAGAGAATTTCATGCACACTGAAAAAATATTTGTCGACCCATTAAAATAACCGTTACACAAACTCTCTGTGATAAGTCGGTATGACAACGAAGAATATAAAGGGCCAGTGGTACAACAAGCGAATAGTTAGAACCAGAAGTGCGTCAAGAATGGTCAAAATAGAAGTTGTGGTTCTGCTTTTGGTTGAAAGTGTCAACTGTGCTTTCTTCGACTTGACTGATGTTGACGATCCGCTGTCTCTGCTGTGGCATCACCCTAAAAGTGATCGCTGGTGTTTTTATTATTACAAAAAGTAAATAATTTTTTTCAGATGTTTCTGGAAAACAAGCGAACATCCCGTGCCGTGTTCCTGTTTCTCCCCACAGTGGTTCAGTCATACTTGGACAATGCAGGTACAAGACTCTGTGTCTGCTATCAGGGGGTGAAGCCCACAGTAATGATGCCTGTGGCAGCTTTTTAACATGTTGTACACGTAAGTGTCAAGTCGTACTTATTATTTTGGCTTGAATTTTTCAATTTTTCATTTTTTTGTTTCTTCAGAATTCAGTTTTCAAGTTTAGATTTTTCATTTCTTCAATTTTCCAACTTTCAGATTTTATTTTCTTCTTTGTATTTTCAACTAAATATTCAACTTTTTCAAAATTTCGATTTTATAATTTTTGTTTTTTTCAGTTTTAATTTTATCAATTTTTTTGTTTCTTCATTTTTCCGACGTGCGATTTTTCACTTTTTCTTCAATTTAGAATTTGCAATTTTTCGATTTTTTAATTTTTCGGTTCTTTGTTTTCTTGATTTTATAACTTTTCTTTTTTTCAATTTCAGAATTTTTCAACTTAATTTTACGTTTTTTCAATTGTAGATTTTTCTGTTTCATAATTTTTCAATTTTTCATTTCTTTAATTTTTGACTTGCAATTTTTGTAGTTTTCATTTTAAATATAATACGATTTTAGAATTTTTCCATTTTTCAATTACATATTGGATTTTTTAAATCTTTCTTCGATTTTTCAATTTTTCGATTCTTTATTTTTTCTGTTTGCAATTTCTTCAGACTTCAGTTTTAAGATTAAATTTTTCATTTTTTCAATTTTCCAATTTTCAAATTTTATTTTCTTCTTTGTATTTTCAACTAAATATTCAACTTTTTCAAAATTTCGATTTTATAATTTTTGTTTTTTTCAGTTCTAATTTTTTCAATTTTTTTGTTTCTTCATTTTTCCGACGTGCGAATTTTCAATTTTTCTTCAATTTAGAATTTGCAATTTTTCGATTTTTTAATTTTTCGGTTCTTTGTTTTCTTGATTTTATAACTTTTCTTTTTTCAATTTCAGAATTTTTCAACTTAATTTTACGTTTTTTCAATTGTAGATTGTTCTGTTTCATGATTTTTCAAATTTTCATTTCTTTAATTTTTGACTTGCAATTTTTGTAGTTTTCATTTTTAATATAATACGATTTTAGAATTTTTCCATTTTTCAATCACATATTGGATTTTTTAAATCTTTCGAGTTCTTCGACTTTTCAATTTTTCGATTCTTAATTTTTCTATTTGCAATTTTTCAGTTTTTATTTTCTTCATTTTAACAATTTTTCGATTATTCAATGTCCCGAATTTAATTTCTTGTTTTTTTCAATTTAAATTTTTTTTCTTTTTTGTTTCTTCATTTTTTCGGTTTTCAATTTTTCGATTTTTGAAGATTTTTAAATTTTTTGTTTTTTCAATATAGATTCATGATTTTTCACTTTACCTTGCTTTAATTTTTGATTTGATATTTTTTGTAGACTTCATTTTGAATATGGTTCATGTTGATTTTTCAATTTTAGGATTTTAAAATTTTTCCATTTTTCAACTACTGCATTTTTAAACTTTCGACTTTTCAATTTTTCATTTTTTTGCATTTCTTCAAATTTTCTATTGGCAATTTTTTCGTTTCGGTTTTCTATTTTTCTTTGTTTTTACAAATTTTCGATTATTCAATGTTTCAATTGTATAATTTTTTGTTTTTCCAGTTTCATTTTTTTCACTTTTTTCGTTTCTTCATTTTTTCGATTTGCAATTTTTCTGTTTTCAATTTTTCGATTTTTCAACTTTCCGATTTTTAAATTTTTTGTTTTTTCAATTTTAGATTTTCCACTTTCATGATTTTTCATTTTTTCGTTGTTTTAATTTTTGATTTGCAATTTTTGTAGTTTTCATTTTAGATTTTTAAAATTTTTCTTTAAATATTCATTTTCAACTTTTCGATTCTCAATTTTTCTATTTTTCGCTTCAATTTTTCATCGCTGCAAATTTTCTACTTGCAATTTTTCATTTTGGCTTTTCATTTTCTTTGCTTTTACAAATTTTCGATTATCAATAATGATCGGGATTTATATAATTTTTTGTTTTTACAATTCCCATTTTTTCAATTTTTCGTTTCTTCATTTTTCATTTTTTTTTTTTTTTGTTTATTCAATTGGACGATATTCACCTCTTCGAGTTTTCATTTTTAAATTAGAATTTAGAATTCTTCGCTTTCACAACTTTTGAATTTTGAATTTTTCGATTTTACAATGTTCTAATTTTATAATTCTTCTTTTATTCAATTTTTCGATTTTAGAATTTTTCCAATTTTTAAAATATTGGATTTCCAAACTTTCATTTATTCGACTTTCCAATTTTTCGATTCTTAATTTTTCAGTTTTTCATTTCCCCAAATTGTTTATTTGCAATTTTTCGTTTCGGTTTTTTTTTAATTTTTACGATTTTTCATTGTTCTGATTTTATAAATTTTCTTTTTTTCAATTTTTCGATTTTTCAATTTTTCATTTGCAGTTTTTCTGGTTTTTTATTTTAAATATGGAATAGTTATATTAAATTTAAAAAAACACTTTTTTAAATATACGATTTTAGGATTTTTCCATTTTTTAAATTAAATATTGGATTTTAAAATTTTCATTTATTTGACTTTTCAATTTTTCGATTCTTAATTTTTCAATTTTTCATTTCCCCAAATTGTTTTGCAATTTTTCGTTTCGGTTTTTTGTTTTTTAATTTTTACAATTTTTGGATTATCCGACGTCTCGATTTTATTTTTTTTTTGTTTTTTCAATTCAAATTTTTTCATTTTTTCGTTTCTTCAGTTTTTGGATGTGCAATTTTTCGGTTTTCCATTTTTAGATTTATCAACTTAATTTGTTTTTAATTTTTTATTTTTCAATTTTAGATTTTTTAGTTTCATGATTTTTATTTTTGGTTGCTTTAATTTTTGATTTGCAATTTTTCTAGTTTTATTTTAAATATTACTTACAAATGAAAAAAAAACATTTTTTCAATTTTACGATTTTTGAATGTTTCCATTGTTTAAATATTGGATTTTAAAACAGTTATTCGACTTTTCAATTTTTCATTTCCCTAAATTTTTATTTGCAATTTTTCGTTTCGGTTTTGTATTTAATTTTTACAATTTTTCGATTATTCAATGTTCCGACTTTTTAATTTTTTGTTTTTTCAATTTAAATTTTTTCGTTTCTTCATTTTCTCGATTTGTAATTTCTCAGTTTCCAGTTTTTCGAATTTTACTTTTAGATTTTTTAATTTTACGTTTTTTCAATTTTAGATTTTTCATTTTCAACTTTTTGTCGCTTTAATTTTTTGATTTTCAATTTCCGTAGTTTTCATTTTAAATAGGATTCATGATGATTTTTGAATTTTCAACTGTTGGATTTTTAAACTTTCATTTATTCGACCTTTCAATTTTTCGCTTCAATTTTTCCATTTCTCAAATTTTCTATTTGCAATTTTTTGTATCGGTTTTTGATTTTCTTTCCTTTTACAAATTTCCAATTATTCAATGTGCCGATTTTATAATTTTTTGTTTTTGCAATTTAAATTTTTTCAATTTTTCGGTTTTCAATTTTTCGACTTCAGGGTTTTCAAAATTTTTGTTTTTTCGATTCTTAGTTTTTCAGTTTTTTGCTTCAATTTAGCATTTCTTCAAATTTTCTTTGCGGTTTATATTTTCTTTATTTTTACAATTTTTTGTTATTACAGTTGCAATTTCTCGGTTTTCAATTTTCCCATTTTTCAACTTTTAGAGTTTTGATTTTTCGTTTCTTCAATTTTTGATTTGTTGTTTTTCTAGTTTTCATTTTAAATATGTGAAAATTATAGATTTAAAGTTTATCACTTTTTCAATTTTACAATTTTAGAATTTTTCTATTTTTTAATTACTATGCAACTTTCATTTATTCGAATTTTCAACTTTTCGATTCTTAATTTTTCAATTTTCGCTTCAATTTTTCATTTCTTCAAACTTTTTATTTCCAATTTTTTTTTCGGTTTTTTATTTTCTTTATTTTTACAATTCTTCGATGGTCCAATATTCCGATTTTATAATTTTTTATATTTCAATTTAAATTTTTCTTTTCTTCAATTTTTAGAATTTTTGTGTCTTCTATTTTAGATTTTTCAGTTTCATGACTCATTATAATTTTTCAGTTTTACGATTTTTGAATTTTTCCATTTTTCAATTACTGGATTACTTTTCGATTCTTAATTTTACAATTTTTCGCTTCTATTTTTCATTGCTTCAAATTTCCCATTTGCAATTTTTCGTTTCTTCAATTTTTGATACGTAATAATTATAGATTTAAAAATTTTTTCACTTTTTCAATGTTCCGATTTTATAATTTTTTGTTTTTACAATTTCAGATTTTTCACTTTTTCTTTTCTTCAAGTTTTTGGTTTTTAATTTTTCGATTTTTCGACTTTCAGATTTTTAAAATTTTTGTTTTTAAATTTTAGATTTTTCAGTTTCATGATTTTTCACGTTTTGGTTGCTTTCAATTTTGATTTGCAATTTTTGTAGTTCTCATTTGATCTTTAAATTTTACAATTTTTCCACTTTCCAATTACTGGATTTTAAAATAATCATTTATTCGAATTTTCAAATTTTCGATTCTTAATTTTTCAATTTTCGGTTCAATTTTTCGTTTCAGTTTTTATTTTCTTTATTTTTTACAGTTTTTCGATTGTTCAATGTTCCGATTTTATATATATTTTTTTCAATTTCAATTTTTTCACTTTTTCGTTTCTTCAGTTATACGAAATGCAATTTTTCGGTTTTCGTTTTCAATATATAATAATTATAAATTTTTTCATTTTTCAGTAAATCCTAAATTCGTAAAACTGAAAATTTACAATTTTAAATTTTTTCATTTTTCAATTGTTGAGTTTTAAAACTTTTATTTTGATTTTTCACTTTTTCTTCTTTCCAATTTTTGGATTCAAAAAATGTTATAGATTTTTAAGTTTCTCGATTTTTAGTTTTTCAATGTTACAATTTTTCGCTTCTTCAATTTTTCGATGTTCCACTTTTTCGTTTTTTCAGTCTCTCGATTTTTCGATTCGTTCGTTTTCCGATTTTTTAACTTTTAGATTTTTCAACTTTTCGAATCGAAAAAAAATGGAAACATTGCAAAATTGAAAAATCTAAAAGTTAAAAATTAAGAACGTGAATAATTGAAGAAAAAAAGTTGAAAATAGAAAGATTAAAAACTTGTAATATTGAAAAATTGCTAAACTGAAGAAGTTGAAAGAACGAAAAATTATGAACCCGAAGAATTGAAACATCTAAAATTTCATAAATTAAAGAAAATGAAAAAAAAGAAAAATTGTGCTATCAAAAAATTGTAAGATCGAAAAAAAGAAAAAACGAAAAATTGGTTGAATTGATTTAATCAATTCAATAAACTGCCTCACTCATTAATTTTTTTGAGCCACCCTGTATAAGTAATTCTAAAAACTGCAGCCACAATATTTCGCATATTTCAAAAAGCATTGAGATGACGTCATCCATTTTTTGGAGAAAATAAACGAATCAATTTTGATTAAAATTTACCATTTTTGTTTGTGTTATATCAGAAATTGAGCAACTTCTTTCAGAACCATCCGTCTGTTCGAAACGAACTAAATCAAAAGTGTCTTATTTTACGAAAGACCAGTCTGCTGCTGCAAGCTACTGCGAGCACGTAGTAGAGATCCAGAGCAAAGTTTGTCAAATCAGGTAATCTCGTCCAATTAAACACCATCAAAATTAGCGCTTCATTATTCAGGTTAGACTTCGAACAATTTAGACTGGCTCCTTCGACAAATGTAAAAGTAGATGCTAATTTATTCCACACGGTATGCGATACGGACAACATGACTGTAAATCCGGAAGTTCAGAGGGTTCCTTATTTTTGCGGCAATAACGATGGACAACATGGTATTAAATTCTCAAATGTCGACGCGTTTCGCCAACCACGTTTGATTTTAGCTTACGTACATTTGGATTCACAGACTGAACTAAGACTTCAGGTACAGCTTGGTGCTCAAGGGAATCTAAATCGGTATTGGAGAATCAAAGTCACGCAGATTGAGTGTCCACTGTTTTGGCGCTTTTTGGGCAATAGTTACAAGAGTCTCAGTTATGGTTTTAACTCCGGAGAAAACTTTCCGTTATTGGGTATGTTGCACTAGTGTTTTGAAAATTTCTTTTAAGAGTTGTCCAAAATGACCTATTTTATAGCACCACCTGGTGCTGCACAGTATTTTACGGAACCAGTAGGGACGATCCGATCGTTTGGTTACAAGGATAGCGAAAGTGAATATATTAGTGGACTTTATTATGCTATTGCCTTTAAGAAGACCCCAAGAGTGAATTGCATCAAGTAATAACTGTTGAAATGGCGTTAGCAGCATTAAATGACAAATTCCAGGTTTACAACAAATTATATAGTTTTAAGATCTGTCAACCCACCTCAGAATGGCAGGGACGGACACTGTATTGACTACTTATTTATTCCGGAACTTGAAATCGTTAGTGGCACAGTCGAGAGATATGGTTCTCAAGTTTGTTCGGGACAACCGACACTAGCGCAAATATTTTACTGTAAGTAGAAAATTGTCTTTATCAGTGAAAACAAATATATCCTTCTTCTTAAAAAAATGTATTTTATGGTAATTAATGTAAAGTTACAGAACTCGTTTATATCATCTAGATCGATATAGGTACTTACTTGTTGAAAAAAAAAATGCCATGGAATATAATCATATTTGGGAATGAGTTGCAAAGCAACGAGCTCCATGACGTAATAGAAAAATTAAATTAAATTTCGCGTCTTCCGAGTTAAATTTTTTTGCTTAACTTCGCGCTACTTTTCTATATAAAATAAAAAGTCCGTAACATACATTAATTACTTCTTCGAATCACCGTTAAATGTATTGAAATTTTTCATTCTAATTTGTAGCAGAGCCGCCTGGCCCACTCTATATACATTTTCGCTCGAAATCTGCGAATGCAGACAATAGTCCAGGTCATGCTTTTGACATTCAATATGAACTGACTTCCTGTGCCCGAGAACTGAAGCCGTAGATTACAGAAACCATTTCTTGTGTGAATTGTTAACTAAAAATACTGATGTAAAACAAGTTGGCAAATTTTGCTCTTATTTATCTTTGTAACAACAAAATAAGATTACTTTGATCTGTCTTGTAATGTAATGTAATGACGCTAAATTTTGTAAACAATAATAAATAAAATTAAATTAACAACACACATTATTATTATTAAAAAGTTCCCCTTTGCGGCAGCTATCCCATTGGTTCATCGTCTGAAGCCTGTCTTGACGAGTAATTATCGTTGTTGAAAGGTCCAGAATTTAACGAAACTAAAAAAAAATGTGACGACAAAAAGGAAAGAAATATGAGAAAAAAAACTCTGGAGTTATTGAAATCGAACGTTCCTCACTTCTGCACACACCACCGTATTTTTTTCACCGTTGGGTGCTGTCTTTGAAAGACTCTTGAGGGTCCTTTGTGTTATTTTCAAAAAGTTCAAAGTCTCAGACCCCCCCCCCTGTTTTATTTTTAAACACTTTTGGGGCCCAAGGGAGAATTGGAATAATCTCGAGACACCCTTTCGAAAATCTTCAACTTTTCAGTTAAATAATTTTGGGCACTCTTGCATTTTCTCAGAATAGTCTTGCATCATTTAAAAAATATTACTGGATGCGCATCTGGACTTTCAAATATCTGTAAAACAAATAAAACATTTAAATAATTATTATAAATATTTACGCAATGATCAGGTAAAAATAAAAATGTCTGGAAGTTGGCACCAGGTGTTTAGTTTTTGAAATAATTTAAAGCACCTTCGGAGGCCCTGATGTTTTGAAGTTAAACTTAAAGAATCTCAGGGACTTCGACTGGTCAAAATTTTAGAAAACTTAAAAGTCTCAGGGGTCCCTTGTTTTTGATTTTATTTTTTAAGTAATTTAAAGCATCTCAGTGGCCCATGTTATTTTGTTCTATTGTGTCAATTTTTTAAAAAATTAAAGAATCTCGAAGGCAGCAGGATTTTTGTTTTTGAAGCAATTAGAAGAATGTCAGTGGCCAGTGATGTTTTATTTTTGAAGTAGTTTAAAAAATCTGAGAAGGCCCTGGTGTTTTAATTTTGAAAGAATTTCGAGAACCTCAGGGGTCCCTTGTGTTTCGTTTTTAAAGGATTTATTAAAGAATGGGAGGGATGGGGGGGGCTAAGCGTTTTATTTTGTAAGTAGTTTAAGGAATCTCAGAGGCATCAGGTGTTTTATTTTTGAAGTAATTTAAAGCGTCTCAGGGGCTCATGGTATTTTGTTCTTGAAACAATTTAAGTATCATTTGGAGCTCCTGACGTCTTGAAGTAATTTAAAAAATCTCATCGGCGTCAATTGGTTCAATTTAAAAAAAAATTAAAGGATCTTAGAGGCAGAGAAAGTTTTATTTTTGCAGCAATTTGAAGAATTTCAGGGAAGACGGGTGTTTTAATTATGAAAGAATTTCGAGAATCTCAGGGGTCCCTTGTGTTTCATTTTTAAAGAATTTACTAAGTGTTTTATTTTTTAAGTACCTACTTAGTTTAAAGAGTCTCAGAGGCAACAGGTGTTTCATTTTTGAAGTAATGTAAAGCGTCTCAGGGTCCATGGTATTTTGTTCTTGAAACAATTTAAGGATCCTTCGGAGTCTCTGATGTCTTGAAGTAATTTAAAATATCTCAGGCGCTTCTATTGGTTCAATTAAAAAAAAAAAAAAATTGAAAGATCTCAGAAGCAGAGAAAGTTTTATTTTTGAAGCAATTTGAAGAATTTCGGGGGACCCTGATGTTTTATTTTTGAAGTAATTTAAAAAATCTGAGAAGCCCCTCATGTTTTAATTTTGAAAGAATTTCGAGAATCTCAGAGGTCCCTTGTGTTTCATTTTTAAAGAATTTACAAAGTGTTTTATTTTTTAAGTACTTAGTTTAAAGAGTCTCAGAGGCAACAGGTGTTTTATTTTTGAAGTAATGTAAAGCGTCTCAGGGCCCATGGTATTTTGTTCTTGAAACAATTTAAGAATCCTTCGGAGTCCCTCATGTCTTGAAGTAATTTAAATTATCTCAGGGGCTTAAAGAATTTTTTAAAGAATCTGGGGGTCTCTAAATGTTTTATTTTTTAGTTAGTTTAAAGAATCTCAAGAGGTATCAGGTGTTTTATTTTTGAAGTAATTTAAAGCGTCTCAAGAGCCTATGGTATTTTGTTCTTGAAACAATTGAAAGCACCTTCGGAGCCTCTGATGTTTTGAAGTAATTTGAAGAATCTCAGGGGAGCCTGATGTTCTATTTTTGAAGTAGTTTAAAAAATCTGACAAGCCCCTGGTGTTTGAATTTCGAAAGAACTTGGAAAAATTCAGGGCTCCCTTGTGTTACGTTTTTAAAGAATTAATTAATGAATTCCAAAGGGCCCTAAATGTTTTATTTTTTTAAAGTTTAAACACTCTTAGAGGTATCAAATGTTTTATTTTTTAAGTAATTTAAAGTGACCAAGGGGGCCATGGTATTTTGTTCTTGAAACATTTTAAAGCAATTTTTAAATAATTTAAATAATCTCAGAGGCAGTAGTTTTATTTTATTTTTGAAGTAATTTGAAGTATCTAAAAAGTCCTTTGGTGTTTTACTTTTGAACGAACTTAGAATATCTCAGGGGTTCCTTGTGTTTCACGTTTGAAGAATTTATTAAAGAATCTCCAGGGCCCTATTTTTAATTGTTTTAATAGTTTACAGAGTTTCATAACCCCAGTTGAAATAAATTTATTAAAGCATCTCAGGGGCTCATGGTGTTTTGTTTTTGAAATAATTTAAAGCACCCTCGTAGTTTCTGATGTTTTGTTTTGAAGTAAGGAGTTGGTTTAAATTTTAAAGAATTCAGGGGCTCCTGGGGTTTTATTTTTTAAGTTTTAAGAATTTTAGACCCACTTGTACCTATTTTCTCACATGAGTCGTGCATCATTTAAAAAATATTTTTAGATGCGCTTCTGGACCTTTAGTAGTTGAATAGTACGAAGGAGTCAAATTTATATACATTTCTGTAGGTACACCAATAAAATATTTTTGAGAAGTAGAACAGAATAACGAATTTTATTATGACAAATATTTTACTATAATTTTTTAACTTAAGAAATTTTTAAATGAATTCATCAGACACCAGAAGTAACAGATGATGTAACAGTTGCAGGACCTGTGTCAGTAAAAATAAAACTGTTTCGAAGTTAAAAAACCCATGATAGGTTTTTTGCTTAACATAAGTTCTATTTTTGGTTGTACATAGAAATTTCTATAGACATCGCGTGGCAACAAACTTTCCGATTACCTGTCTCCCCCATCTCACAATCCTCGCGTAATTAGTTCGACAAAATATCTAAATTATTACAAGCTCCTCGAAGAGCGCCGCCCGAGGCGTCATCTCCGAGCTAATATCGTAGAATAAGCAATCTAGGAGACCCCGGCCACATTTGTTCTTCTTATTATGCTTACATAGCCATCCAATACCTAGGAATACATTTCGGGGGATCGATAGGTTTACACGCGAGGCTGGGACGATGCCGAACACGTGTTATGTTTGTATATTAGACTCGGAACGACTTATTTTTATGGTCGCAATTTTATTATTTCATACAGTCTTCCTAGCCAGCGCAAACACTCCGCCGCCGGCCCAGAATCATTATTAGTTTTCGTCCCTTGCCGGTGCCGGCGCACCGCTCCTCCTCGAAGATTTCAAAATCGATCACATTTGAGCCTCCGCGAAATATGTACGAAGAACGGCATTGTTTGGACGTCGGAATCGTGAAGGACAGCGAGGAAGTGCTGACAGGCCAGGATATTAAAAAAAGGCGAAACGACAGCCACAATCGAGATCTGGGGCCCGATAAATTATACCCTCTGTTAACGGAAGGCTTCATTGCTGAAGTTTGATGTGTGGAGGGAAATGTTTTGTGGAATCTGCAAGAACGGCCATTCAACTGCGCACTGATAATCGGTTAATAAATGGTTTCAATTTAAAGACTAAAACCACCAGATCGCTACAAAATTCATTTTTTTTTTATAAATTCATAGGTCATTACACACATCAAAATCAACTGCATAAAAAATCAGTTGCACTGTCCTGAGAGAAATTTAGACACATCAGGATTAATTCATGTAAATCGTGTCCTGTCCAAAAGGAATTACGTCTAAAAATTTGTTTCTGTACTGTCAAACGTTCTATTTTTGGCTGCCTTATTGTCGTTAATTTTTTTTGGAATTTAAAGAATCTACGGGATTATTGGTGTTTTAATTTTGAAGTAATTTCAAGAAACTCAAGCAAACTGATTGATTTAATTTTTAAAGTACTTAATTTAAAGAAAGAACTCAGGGGTTCCTTGTGTTTCATTTTTAAACAATTTATTAAAATTTTGGGGACCTCTGGGTGTTTGATTTTTTAAATAGGTTAAAAAGTCTCAGAGGCAGCCGTTTTAAAATGGCTCTCATGGTGTTTTGTTCTTGAAATAATTTAAAACACCTTCGCAGTCTCTCATATTTTACTTTGAAGCAACCTAAAGAATCTCAGGGACCCCTCATGTTTTATTTTTGAAGTAATTTATAGAATCTGAGGAGCCTCCTGGCTATTTTTTAAAGAATTTAGAGAATCTCAGGGCGCCTTTGTGTTTCGTTTTTAATGTATTAATTAAAGTATCGTTGTATTTTACTTTTGAAGTAGGTACATATTTTGAACGGTTTCAGGGGACAATGATGTTTTGTTCTTAAAATAATTTAAAGCACCTTCGAAGATCTTGATGTTTTGTTTTAAAGTTATTTCAAGAATCTCAGGTGAATCAGGTGTTTTATTTTTGAAGTAAATTAAAGTATCTCAGGGGCTCATGAAGCTCGTCAAATAATTTACAGAAGTTCCGGAGCCCCTCATCTTTTGTTTTTGAAATAATTTAGAGAATCTGAAGAGCTTTCTGGTGTTCTATTTTGATAACAATTTATAGAATCTCAGGGATCTCTTGTGTTTCAGTTTTGAAGAATTTATGAATCTCGGGGGTCCAACGTGTTTTAGGTTTTAAATAGTTTTAAAACTCTCAGAAGCACCAGGTGTTTTATTTTTGAAGTAATTTTTAAATTACTTACGCTTTAGCGTCCCGCGGGCCCATGTTATTTTGTTCTTGAAATAATTTAAAAGCACCTTTGCAGTCCCTGATGTTTTGAAGTAATTTAAAGAATCTCAGGGGCTTCTATTGATCCAATTTTTTTTTTAAATTTAAATAACCTCAGTTGTAGTAGGAGTTCCATTTTTGAAGTATATAATTTAAAGAATCTGAGGTTAGACAATCTCAGGGATCCTTTATGTTTCATTTTTAAAAGATTTGTTAAAGAATGTCGGGGGCCCCACGTGTTTTATTTTTCAAACAATTTACAGAATCTCAGGGGTCCTTTGTGTTTCATTTTTAAAGTATTTATCAAAGTATCTTGGTGTTTTATTTTTGAAGTATATATTTTAAACCGTCTCACTTTCGGAGCTCCTGATGTTTTATTTCTGGGGTTCCCTGTGTTTCATGTTTAAAGAATTTATTTACGAATTTCGGGGGCGCACTTAAATTTTTAAATAGTTTAAAGATATCAGAGGCATCAGTTGTTTTATTTTTGAAGGAAATTAAAGTATTTCAAGGGCTCATGAAGCTCTTCAAATAATTTAAAGAACTTCCGAAGTCCCTCATGTTTTGTTTTAGAAGTAATTTAAAGAATCTGAAGAGCCTTCTAGTGTTCTATTTTGATAACAATTTATAGAATCTCAGAGATCCCTTGTGTTTCAGTTTTGGAGAATTTATGAAAGAATCTCGGGGGTCCCACGTGTTTTAGGTTTTAAATAGTTTAAAAAGTCTCTGAGGTACCATGTGTTTTGTTCTTGAAATAATTTAAACCACCTTCAGAGGCCCTGATGTTTTGAAGTAATTTAAAGAATCTCAGATGCTTCTATTGGTCCAATTTTTTTAAAACTGAAGATCTCGGGAGGCCTTCGTGTTTTATTTTTTTCATCAATTTAAATAATCTCACGTGCAGTAGGAGCTGTATTTTTAAGTAATTTAAAGAATCTTGTGTTTAATTTTTAAACGATTTATGAAAGGATCTCGGGTTTTATTTTTGAAGTAATTTAGAATCTCAGTAGCCTCTTGGTGTTTCATTTTTAAAGTATTTATTAAAGTATCCTTGTGTTTACTTATGAAGTGCATATTTTAAAGCGTCCCAGGGGACCATGATCTTCTGTTCTTGAAATAATTTAAAGCACTTCGGAGCTCCTGATGTTTTGTTTAAAAGATATTTAAAGAATCTCATGGGCACCAGGTGTTTTATTTTTGAAGTAAATTAAAGTATCTCTGGGGCTCATGGAGCTCAATTCAAAGAACTTCCGGGGCCCGGTTTTAGTTTTGATGTAATTTAAATAATCTCGTAAGCCCTAGTGTTTCATTTTTGAAAGAATTTAAAGAATGTCGGTGGCCCCAGTGTTTTATTTTTTAAATAGTTTAAAATATCTGAGGACCCGTTGTTTTTTATTTTTGAAGTAACTTAAAGCGTCTCAAGGGTCCATGCTGTTTGGTCCTTGAAATAATTTGAAGCCCATTGGGAGCCCCTGATGTTTTGCTTTGAAGTAATTTAAAGAATCTCAGGGACCCCTGGTGTTTTATCTTCATCAGAATTTAGAGAATCTCGGGAGTGCCTTGTGTTTCAATTTTGAAGAATTTATTAAAAGTCTCGGGTTTTCACGTGTTTGTATCTTTTAAATAGTTTACAAAGTCTTAGAAGCACCAGGTGTTTTATTTTTGAAGTAATTTAAAGCGTTCACAGGCCCATGGTATTTTGTTCTTGAAATATTTTAAAGCACTGATATTTTGAAATAATTTAAAGAATATGAGGTTAGAGAATCTCATGGGGAACTGGTCTTTTTTTTTAAAGCATTATTAAAGCATCTCGGGGGTCCCGTGTGTTTTATTTTTGAAGTAGGTACTTTAAACCGTCTCAGAGGATTTGAAATAATTTATTTAAAGAATTTCAACTGTCCCCTCCTATTGGTTCAATTTATATAAAATTTAAAGAACCACGTGTTTTAATTTTTAAACAGTTTAAAGAATCTCAGAGGCATCAGAAGTTTTGTTTTCTATATACAACAACTGAATGGAGAATATTTGTCAATGGAATTAACTTTAAATGTGAGTTGGATTTGGAGCTTATTATTTATGTCAAAACTGACAACCATGGACTGACATACTAGCATGGTTGTCAATAATTCAGAATTGCCAACACAAAATTTTGCTTCAATGATTAATGGTAACACGTTGCTCTCTATACACACACGTTTTTTTCAACTCTCAAATAAACCCTTCAGCAATAGTTGAATGTCCACACTCGCACAAAAAAAAAACATCGAGTTAAGCACATTTATCGCCGTTTATGAAATAACACAAATATTTTCCAACTCAGACAATTATAACTCTCATTTAATTTCCCCGTATTTCTAAATGTTGCTCCACCTTCCCGCAAATGTAAATACGAGACGCTCGAAATTAATTAAATCGCTTACAAAAGAGAAAAATGTCTAAATGGCATACAACTGGTATGCTTTGTAATGCCATTTTATATTTTCCACGAGAAATGCGTCATCATTTCCTAGTTTCACGCTCGATGCCCCAACTCTGCGTGGATATACAGCTTTTGTGTTCCAAGATTAAAGAAAGAAAAAAATCCTCGTTCTCGTTTAGATATGGAGAAAAAGCTCGCAAACGAGACGAACGTCGACAGGTTAGTTTCAAAACGCACACATTTCAGACTGTTTATTGAGAAATTAATTCCACATATGTACATCGCCTGGATTAAAATCCAACTTATCTCTAGTGGTGTAAAAGCTAAGTTTAGCGACAAGTTGAAATTAAAAATAAACGAGCGGTTTTAGGTGTGCGGTTCGGCCCCGAGGGCTGCAAATTGCAGCCCTCGGCGGCAAGTCCCACGTATCCATTTTCTAATTAGCGGAACAATGGCAGACTACATCGCTAAACAAAACGATAACTGCGGACCGCTTACAATATGCCCGATATTGTAATTATCACTGATAGCGGCGGGGGGCGCGGAGCGAGGCGAGCACTTTCCAACTATATATCCCAAGACAATGGGCTTCATGATTAAGGAAATCCAATACGTCCTTCTCCCTCTTGCGGCTCTCTTTTGTGACAGACAGGAGCAGCGTAACCTTGATGGTGTCTTTTATCATCTTCGACGTTGTATCTCTCATCCGTCTGTCTGTTTCTATCATCCATCCGCAGTACACTCCTCAACTCAGCTGTGTAATTCAATAATTGAAAGATAATAAACAGCCAGAGGCGTCAGTTTCAAGAAGTGAACCATACGGAGGGTGAATAGTTCGATTGAATTAGTTTGATGGCTGGTTTAATCTCCAAAAGCCGATCTGTTATGGCCTTCGCAGGATGCAATCAGTCCTGAAACAAACAAAGGAGTTACTAAAGTACACCGAGCGACTCTAGGCGGAGAGAGGGCGAACTGGGAGGGAGGGTGCAGTGGCGAGGTGGAGTGGACTCACGATTCGAGGAGGGATTTTTATACGGGGGGCGGTTGGAGGTTCTAATTGGGGTAATTTTAGGCTTGGAAATCGTGTGATGGTAAACGCTAACCAAGGTTTGGCTAGTCGTTACACCAACAATAGGATCAAAATTTACGTTAGTGAAGTTTATTTAAATTTTATAAAATGAGATACTCCTATACTTGTGGTTTATGAATTCGTGTTGAGCTTTAATCCTTGACACTCAGATTTTTGGAAAAAAATTAAAATTGTATAAAACTGTACAACTTAACTTTGAAATTGCAAAGCCGTATGCTACCAAATCTTGCAAACGTTTTAAGGTTATAAATGCTCCTTCAATATTATTTTTTATGTGTAATTTATGAATGCGCGAGTTTTTATCCCAGACAGTCACATTTTTGAGAAAAAATTCAAAATTGTCTAGCAACATTTTTTCTTCGACTTTTCAGTTTTTGTAGTTTCTAAATTTTTGATTTTTCGATTTCTCAAAATCAATTTTTTTGTTTTTCGATTTATTGATTTCTTCATGTTTGGAGTTCTCATTTCTCAATTCTTCATTTTTTCGAATTTTTTTATATTTTATTTTCCGTTTTTTTTTCAAATCTTTGAATTTTTATTTCGCAATTTTTGGCGTTTCTAAATTTAATTTTTTTCTATTTCTCGATATCTCGATTGATTTTTTAGTTTTTCAATCCTCCAAAATTTCAATTTTTCGATTTTTGGCATTTCTAAATTTTAGATTTCTCGATAAATCGATTTTTCGATTTCTTTATTTTTAGATTCCTTTATTTTTCGATTTTCCAATTTGTCGTTTCTAAGTTTTGAATTTTTTGATTACTCGATTAATCAATTTTTAGATTTTGTGATTTTGCGATTTCTGTCATTTTTGGAGTTCTCGATTTCTCAATTTATCGGTTTATAAAGTCTTCAATTTTTCGATACTTCCTTTCGATCTTCTTTTTTTATAAAATATTGTTCGGTTTTTAAATTTTAGATTTTTTGATTTCTCTATTTGCTTTCAAATCTTCCATGTTTTCATTTTTCAATTTTTGGTGTTTTTAAATTTAAAAAATTTCTATTTCTTGAATTTTTCGCCTTCTCTATCTCTCAATTTTTCAGGTTTTTTATTTTTCAATATTTAAAATTTTCGGTTTTTCCATTCTTCGATTTTCGTATTTTTCAATTTTTGGCATTTCCAAATTTTCGATTTCTCGAATAATCGATTTTTTGGCTTTTAGCTTTCCCGCTTCCCCATTTTTCGATTTTAAGATTTTTGTATTTTTGCAATTCTTCGATATTTCAGTTTTTGGATTTTTCAATTTTTTGCTTCTTCAAAATCTCAATTTGTCGATATCTTTATTTTTCGACGTTTCAGTTTTACGATTTTTTAGTTTTTCAATTTTTCGATTTTTTAAATTTAGATTTTTTGATCTTTCAATTTTTCGAAGTTTCGATTTCTCCATTTTTTTTATATTTTATTTTAGTTTTTTAAATTCTAGATTTTTCAAATTCTTGATTTCTTCAAATTTTTGATTTTTCTATTTTTCAATTTTTGACAATTCTAAATTAAATTTTTTTCAATTTCTTGATTAATCGATTTTTCGACTTCTCGATTTCTCGATTTTTCAGGTTTTTGATTTTTCGATTTTTAAAATTTTCGGTTTTCCGAATTTTCGACTTGACGATTTTTCGATTTCTCGATTTTTCAATTCTACGATTTTTCTATTTTTTAATTTATGGACATTTTCAAATTTTCGATTTCTCGATTAATCGATTTTTCGACTTTTCAAGTTTTCCATTTCCTGATTTTTCGAGCTTTAGATTTTTCAGTTTTTGCAATTCTTCAATTTTTCGATTTTCAGGTTTTCGATTTCTAGATTTCGCAATTTTTCGATATTTCAGTTTGGGGACTTTTCAATTTTTCTTCGATTTTTCAATTTTCCGTTTGATCAATTTTTCGATACATATTTCAGTTTTGGGATTTCTTCATTTTTCGCTTCCTCAAATTCACGATTTGTCGATTTTTTTATTTTTCGATAAGTATATCAATTTTCCGATTTCGATTTCTTAATTTTTCAGTTTTTTGATTCTTCAATTTTTGGATAATTCCTTTCGATGCCTCGCCTTTTTACTTTTTTTTTAAATTTTAGATTTTTCTATTTCTCAATTTTTTTATATTTTATTTTTTGGTTTTTTAAATTTCAGATTTTTCGATCTCTCGATTTTTCAAGTTTTGGCATTTCTAAGTTTTCGATTTCTCGATTGATCGATTTTTCGACTTTTAGTTTTTTCAGTTTTTGCAATTCCTGAATTTTTCGAATTTTCAGATTTTTGATTTTCCATTTTTTTTTCGATTTCTAGATTTCTTAATTTTTGGATATTTCAGTTTTCCGTTCTTCAATTTTTCTTCGATTTGTCAATTTTTCTTTCAACTTTTCGATGTTTCACTTTTGGGATTTTTTAATTTTTCGCTTCAAATTCTCGATTTGTCGATTTCTTTATTTTTCGATACATCTATTTCCCGATATTTCAGTTTTACGATTTTTCAATTTTTCAATTTTTTTCGTTTCTAAATTTTGGATTTTTTGACTTCTCGATTAATCAATTTTTCGATTTTTTTGATTTTCTGAATCCTTCATTTTTGGACTTCTCGATTTCAATTGTTCGATACTTCCTTACGATCTTTTGGTTTTTTGATTTTCCAATTTTTGACTTTTGAATTTTAAATTTTTCGATTTTCCATTTTGATTTTTCGATTTCTCGGTGTTTTTCAAATCTTCGATTACCCAATTTTTTAAATTTTAGATTTTTCGACTCTTCGGTTTCAAGATTTCTTAATTTATCGATATTTCAGTTTTGGGATTTTTCAATTTTCCGTTTTATCAATTTTTCAATTATTCGATTTTTTGATTTTCCGATTTAATTTTTAGATTTTTTCAATTCTCAGTTTTTCTATTCTTCAATTTCTCGATAATTCGTTTCGAGTTTCGGTTTCTGAAATTTTTAGATTGTTTTTGGTTTTTCAATTTTTGGCGTTTCAAAATTTAAAATTTTTCAATTTCTTGATTTCGCGAGTTTTGAATTCTTCGATTTCTATTTTTCAACTTTTGGCACTTCAAAATTTTCGATTTTTCGATTAATCGATTTTCGACTTTTCAACTTTTCCATCTTTCGACTTTTCGACTTCTAGATTTCTCAATTTTTCGAAATTTCAGTTTCGGGATCTGTTGGAGATACACATCTAAAGTGTGCAATGCTGGTTGCATACCGAACGTCTGTCATATTTGCATTTACATTTTTAACTGTCATAATTACTGTCAATTATTGTAATCGAAATAAAGCCTCGTGTGTGTATATAGCATCAAAGTATTTTATCTTCCACGAATAAATCCATCAGGTTATGTGTCCAGCGCAGAAGTAAAAAGGGCATTGAAGAGAAACAAGAGAAAATCACATTTTTCATAATTTCGTATTACAACGAACAGAAGCCAAAACTTAACCTCAAAAGTTGAAGACATACCACGCGGTTTTTACAATCATGTCTGGGGCTGTACTGTATATTGAAAAGTTAAGTAAAGAAAATTATGATACATGGCGGCTGCAAATGGAAGCAATATTAATCAAGAATGATTTCTGGGGTTATGCAAATGGAAAAATATTGAAGCCAACGCCAGTTACAGATGCTATCACAAGGGCTGTTACAAATCAAAAAGAAATAGATACATGGGAGACTGCAGACAATAAAGCAAGGTCAGATATCATTTTATCAATATCACCGTCAGAATTATGCCACATCAAACGTTGTAAAACCTCATACGAAGTTTGGGTCAAGTTGGCAGAAATTTATCTATCGAAAGGTCCTGCACGTAAAGCTACACTATTGAAACGGCTGTTATTCACCAAGATGCAAGAGGGCGAACATATGAGGGACCATCTTAACTTGTTTTTTGACACTAATGATAAATTATTGGAGATGGGTATTGAAGTTGCCGAAGACCTGTTGTCGATATTATTGTTGTATAGCATCCCGGACAACTATGAAAATTTTCGATGTGCAATTGAAGCTCGAGACAATCTTCCGAGTCCAGAGGCCTTGAAAGTAAAATTACTCGAAGAATTTGATGCAAGAAGGGGCAAAACGGTTGGCAAGACTGATCAAGATGCGCTGTATATGAAGTCTCTGGGGGGCCACAGTCTCAAGAAGACATCTGGTGGAAATTTCGCAAGTCAGAAAGGACTGAAGAAATTGTATAAGTGTAACTACTGCCACAAACTAGGTCACAAAGCTGCAGAATGTTGGAAGAAGGCCAATAAACAGAAACACTCAAATCAATCTACATCAAAGGTGGAAGAAGTGTTTGTAGCTGAAACCGTCAATGTCGCATTAAAGTCTGTAGAAGTCAACACAAATGAATGGTGCATAGATAGTGGAGCCACTTCACACATGTGTCATGATCGTAAAATGTTTTTGGATATAGTTCCTGTCACAAATCAGAAAGTCCGCCTTGCAGTTAACATGACCACAAACATTTTAGGAAAGGGCACTGTCCATCTTATCGTTCAAAGTGGACAAGGGCAAAAGAAAATAAGATTGGAAAACGTTTTGTTTGTACCTAATCTGAAAACCAACTTGATGTCAATTTCGAAAATAACCTCTAATGGGTACAATGTGAATTTTAAAGAAACTCATGTTTTGGTATCTAATGCACAAGGTAATCCTGTACTTATGGCAAAGAAGAGAGGTGAGCTGTTTTATGTAGAAACCTTCACTGAATCTGGGGCTATTGCAAGTCAAGAAGTGAATGAAGCAGAAAAATGGCATCGACGTTATGGACATTTAAATGAACATGACTTAAAGAAAGTTTTTATGAAAGACATGGTGCTAGGAATTCCTTCAGG